ATGCCCCCTGAGACCCTGGACAGTGCTCAGCAGGGCGTTTCGGCCCGCAGAGACCCTCATTTACGAGAGGATTGGCAAGTTAGAGGGAAGAGCAGCCACATTTACTGTTAGCTCGGCAGCCGAGGCCTCTTTTTCATGTGTCCCTGAGATTTTGATCCTCCAGAAATGGGTTCAGATATTGTTTTTTTTTTTTTTTTTTGCCAGTCACTGCTCCCTCTTTTGCTGGTAATTTCAGCTGGCTGTGGTTCCCTTTACTTATTGCGTGGTTCCCAGTGACTTATTTGCTTACATTTCATTACTTGATTAGATTAGTAGATTAGGTTTTAGAGAGATGTGGATTATTGTAATGCCGGTGATAATACTCTGCATACAGCGTAATATGAGCAAGTGGTATGGCCGCGCGTCTCTAAAGCTGGCGGTCTGTTGTCGCTGAAGCTGAGGTGGAGGAATTTGCAATATTTCTCTGAATTGCCTAGTTAGCTCGGATCTGCTGTGAGATATGAGAGACTGTTGTGTGAGAGAGAGAGATGGAGGCCTGTGACACTCTGCACCGAACCCTAATGAGAGGCAGGGAACCAAAGGAGCTGGGCAATGAGATTAGATGCAACTCAATTCAATTACTGCTGAGCCGCCACGGGTGACGCTTCAAAACTCATCCTGTTAAGATCCGGTTCACAGACGAAGAAGAGGACTGCAGCTCTCACTCAGCCAATGTACGCTACACTGCCACAACATCTCATTCGCAACAGCTCTGATTTATAAGCACACCGGGCGTCTTTGGGCTCCGTCTGGATTTGATAGCGGGAAAAATGCAGAAATAATTGAGTTTTCACCAAATCGCAGGGGTTTATACACTGCTCCCACAAACTATTGCAGTTGTTTCAAGTGTGTGTTTGAGATTAAAGAGAAACTTAACACACCGTTCTAGCTTGAAAACACACCTTCACATGTTCAAAAAAACTGAACTCAGATCTGGACACACAACACTATCCCCGAGTCCACAGTGGCTCCACTCCCCTCTGAGGGATGCTTTCTCACTCTTCTTCACTTTCATACTTCCCCCGACTGCGGCTGAAATTATGCCTCTGTGAAGAAACGTGTTACACAGAACAGGTTTCACACGAACATCTCTTAAGGGACCCCCCCCTCTCCGTCCGCGCACATTTACCTACAAGTCCAACCATGTTCCAGCCTTGACAAATTCAAGTATGTGTTTGCTTTTTGGTGCGATTTTCAGTCGTCAGAGTTAACCTTTATTTTGCTCTGTATCCTGGCAACATACTGTAGTAGAAACTCTGACGCACTTTATTAGACTAAAAGAACCTGAAGGATTACTTGTGGCCAGCGTGACATTGCCTTGTTCTTTGGGGATGTGCAGTCGAAAGCCGAATCATAGGTTTTTCACACAAATGTTCAAACTGCAATTGCATTGAAAACTAACAAATTAGTTGACATGACAGTAAAATGATGATGCATAGAAATTACTACAGGAAAAAACAGGATGACATATTTAGAAAGTATTTAAATGTCGATGTGCAGATGGACTGTGCAAATCTGCTGTATTTAAACATGTAAAATGTCACATACAGTTTGTATTCATTCAATACAATTACAGGTGATTTTTCTGTGCCTACACTTTAATCCGATTGTGAACGCACACCTAGCACAAACATGCACTGCACACATTGTTCCGTGCTGCACTGTTTGTATGTTTTTATGCTTACAGTGCATCACGTGACCGGCGGCTACGAGCTGCATGTAAAACGGCTCCCTGTCTTGATGCCATGATTAGCGCTGAGGAGCACGATCAGCAGAAGCCGCCGCGTGCTGCTGCATTTGTACCGTGGGGATTTATAGGTGGTGATAAGGAAACCTTGTTGTTGTCTTTCATTATTTATGTAGTTGACTGTATTACATTTTCAGATGCAACACAGCTGTGGGGTTCCATGTTGGCTAAGGGATGTATGGGATTTATAGCTTTCCTCCATGTTGGAAATAAATATCACTAAGCATTTATGATGGTCTCCAATGCTGGGAGGTTGAATTCATTGATTGGCTGAAGCCGGATGTGGACTCTGGTCCAGGAAAGGTGAGTGGCTGATGTAAATCACTGCAGAAAAGCACAAAATAACGAAATGATTTACTATTTTTACGGGCTAGAGGCGATGAAGTAGAAAATATCTGTCATGTTAATCCTGTCAGATTAAGTTGCGCTCAAAAAGAGTTTCATCCATTTTTGATTTTGAAGTCTAAATCATGAAACATAAACTTTTCTGCTGACTTCATAAAAAAAAAAACAAAAAAAAAAACCAGGAGCAAACGTAATCCATTTCTGGACAGACTATTTACCACCACTAGATTCCATCTCTTAATTTCCATACAAATGTAAAACTAGGCAGGCATGGAATCTTCTGTGAATCTCAAATGAATCCAATTGTTCCCACACAGTTCAGGGTTTGCCGGAGGCAGGGAGGAGACAAATGCTGCACAAATCAGCAATTTCAAAATAAAAGCACTCTGTGATTCTAATCTGACTGACAGAACTGTGTTTCCTCTTCTTTTACATAAGAGTTAGCGCATGTCGTGTTTTTCTCGCACCTCATGCCTCAAAAATGAAAATAGGCTGTTTTTGTTTAGACAGAACTCTACATATGAAACCCCCCCAATTCCCTCATGAGCATTTGTGTTTCTTTCTTCTGTCATTTAAAATGTACTGAGACAGATTGTAGTGCTTTTTCAAGCAGCGCAGGAATCACACTCCACTAAACAAATAGATTTTTGTAACCCTGAAACAAATAACCCACCAGCGCGCCGTGCCGTACGCCCAATGTGATTACCATGTGTTAACTGGTTCATTGGCATTTTACCTTTACCAGCCTTCTCAACAGTTTCCAAACCAACAGAGACCATTTTGACCCAGTTAATCTGCATGACATCTCTTAATGTGAGAAGCTTTTAATGCCGGGAAGTCTGCCATGCTATCCAGCTGGCTTGCGGTTGGTGAGGTTCTGAGCATATGCCTCAGGAAAATGAATAATGCATCCATGTTATTCAAACCTTTATTCTGTAACTTTTGCTTCAGGTAGAGGACATGTGAGGAGGTATAGCACATGAGAGGCTGCTGCTGCTGTGCTCATGTAAAAGTGATGATACTTCAGAAAAGCTTCAGATGTTTTTTGCTTCACTTTGTAGTCCTTTCTTTTTCCATTTTCAAAGGAAATTGTGATATTTGTCCAAAAAAATATTCTGCTGATTTTATGTTTGGGAGACAGCTACACCTCTTTTGTATTGTTGTTGTCCCAGTACAGTGTAAAGACCTTGTACTTTGAATGTTTAGTTGTTGCTACTCTTAAACAACCGTGTGACCCAGAAACGTCAGAAGGGACTGCATCTACATCGCTACACAGTCTCAACATACGGTATCATCTCCACCGAGTGTTGTGCTACAAGTTACATTCATAAACTATAGGCTAACTCCTCGGAGATGTGACCTGATAACCGGGTTGCCACATAACCTTGAGGTCTGGCAGGCTGATGACTGCAGGCAGTATGCCACTGCTCCTCTGGACAGATGACACAGTGTGCGTCGGCCTCCGCTACTTGCTGTGCCGATTGCCAAAAGGTCATCTGATGGAGATGTGGCTGTGCGCCGTAGTAGCGGTGACACACCGGGAGCACCGACTCACGCGGCGCAGAAGTCTCGGAGCATTTCCAAGTTAAGGGAAACGAAAAAAAAAAAAAAAAAAGGAAAAAGAAATAGACTACTTGACCATTCAAATGGAATAGGAAAGAAGGGAAATGCAAAAGCGGAGAAATGAAGAGAGTCACAAAGTGGTTTTCTTGTTATAGCTGTTGTTGTTTCTTTGGTCTCTGTGCTGGCTTTGTTGGCTGTCTGCAGCCGGTTCATGGAGATAAGGTTGTGCAGAGAAATGACTCACAGTAGAAAAAAAAAAAATATATGACAAATGTTTACTTTGCTCACTGCTGTTCAGACTGTGTCAGACAATTTGCATAATACCCAATCACATCAAACTATAATAATCGCCTTATAAAATCTGTATGTGTCTGCTTGTCTGCCAGGATTTGCTGTTGTTGCAACCCTTTTTTTTTTTTTTTTTAATTCTATATCAGTTACCCGCATGACAGACAATGAAAAATGAACAGAGATATGGAAAAGAAGCTTATTGTACATACAATTTGCAATTGCATTGTCCTGGGCTTAATGAAATACCAGCAGTGTGTTTGATTTTCATTAATAACCTTCATGTTCATTCCCACTCGTTGCACATTGGAGAAGAGTTAAACCATTTTTATTTCAGCTTGTGCTCCATGCAATCTATCCCTCCAGAAATAGGGCTACATTATTCATTCTGTGGTATGTGATTTGACCATAGTGTTTCTGAGCGCTCTGTTAAATGAAAATATTTCACGTGTGAATTAATCATTAGAAAGGCTCAGTCTCCATTCTTCTGGTAGCATAATGATCTCTTTCTACCACTGGCCTGGATGAATCTTTCATTGTCTTTATCTTTAAATGAGTTGGCACAATCCTCCAAGGAGACACGGGCCGCAATGTGTATCACCGCGCTGTCAAAGTTAACATGTGGCTGAGCTAAATGCCATAATTTAATTGATGCCAAGCGCAATAACATCACCCACTGATCTTTTAATATTATGGAGATACGATTTCTGTCCTTTCACTTCATTATGATATTGCCTTCTCAATATGCAAATGTAGAATTCGCACACACTTACACACTGGCACACAAAGTCTAGACTCTAGACAATATTTTAGTGGGCTTGCAGACTTTAGAATGCTATTTTAGATTGTAATGAGATGGCCTTTAACCTTTGGATTCAAGCAAAAACCTCTCCAGAATAAATTAGTAGCCACTCAGTTCTTGCATAACTGTTACTGTGTGCCCATCGCTTTTGTGTTTAATCCTCCGGGTCATTCTCTCTCTCTCTGTCTCTCTCTCTGCATCTCCACCTCTCTCTAGGTTTCTCTATACTGCAGGCCATTATGGAGGCAGCAGTGGCTAACAACTGGCAGGTGACCGCTCGCTCTGTTAGCAGCACAACAGACGCCGCAGAGTTCAAGCGCATCATTGAGGAGATGGACAGGAGGCAGGAGAAGCGCTACGTGATTGACTGCGAGGTGGACAGGATCAACACGATATTAGAACAGGTGAGCCTCGGACTCGGTGTGCATGAGGTAATGCATGTAGATTATATAACCAAACACCTACACTGTTCATCGAGCCCTTTTTTTTTCCTTTTTTTTTTTTTTTGCTTCCAGCTTTAGTCACATAATTGCCATGCAAATTTAACAGAGAAAATAACAGATATTAAAGCCAGCAGTTTTATATGCCAGAGCTAATTTAGTGTATATCACTCAACCTATGAAAAGTGTTGTCTTCTGTTGCTCTAGAGGTGATTTCTAAAAATCTGAGTCATCTGATGACATCACTTGATTTATCTTATTTGATTTATCTTGATTTATCTTAAACCTGGGCTTCGAGGCTACAGATGTATAACAGAAACTGGGTACACAAAGTAATAAAACATTGTCACTTATGAGGCAAAGTGGATCGAGCAACCTCCAGGAATGAAAAATGAAGCCAAAACACTGCAGTTCCTCAAATGGCCACTAGAGGCTGGCTCCATACTTGGGTCAATCCCCATAGATCCCCATGTTAAAATGTCCAACTTCACAGCAGAAATAAACATGTTTACAGCATGGTACTAAAACTATTTTGGTCTACTTTCCTCCAATCATGACAGCTTTACAGAAAATCAGTCTTCATTTAACTCGCTTGTTTCAATTGTATTCAGTCTTAAAGATACACATAATTAGGAGAACGGTTGCGTTGACTGACAGGTGGATGCTGTCACAGGACAGTCCTTGACCCAGGGATGTTTGCGTGGCCCACCTCAGCTACACTCATGCTCCACCTTTTTCGTTTTGGATTAGACAGGCGCCAGTCACTGCCTTGTCTGACTCACCCAATGTATAAGTCTGCCATTGGCTAAGCATTTCACATGGATTTCTCCTCCATTTTCCACAATCTATGTGTTACCATTTTCAAAACCCCCTTTCCCTGCTAGAAACAACAACAACAGCCTGTGGGCTAGCAAGCTACCACACTGAAATTTCACATTCTGCAGAGGGTTGTGCAGTTTTTTTTCAGTGAATTTGCCGTTTTAATGACAGCACTCGTTTCACTGTGTGCAGAACAAATCCACCTGTCACTATTTTAAGGGATTGGTTTAAAGAAATGCTAACAAATTGAGCATTTTTAACCCCTATAGCAGAATGACGATGAGGAGCTGCAGAATGGTTCGGCTTTGTTAGACTAGGCACTGCCATGATGGCGGGTTTATCCATTTTTATACACAGTCAGTGGGACAGAACAAAAAAATGATGTTAATTATGGGAACTGTAGGATCCATATTTTTGTAGCTTGGTTTATAATAGGGACTAAAGGTCAGGATGTCTCCACCTCTGTTGCATCTATTTTGCACAGTCCATTTCCACTCTAAGCTTCCTAATCAGTTTGTTTTTAGGATGATGAAATGTGTTGCTCATAGCTATTAACCCACGGAGAAATATCACTGGACTCTGCACTTCCTCTGCATTTTATCAAGTTTGAATTCATTGGCGCTGTTTTATTTCACTCTCATTAGTGTTGTTTTCAGTTGCAAAAGGCAGCTGTTCTCAGAATAAAAGCTCCAAAATATGCCCAGTCAGCACTGTAATGAAATTACAGAGAGTGAAAAGAGAAACACTAAACTGCGGGAACTACTGAACTACAGCATGTTTTCTATGTGACTTTTAATAACGAGCTAATTTTGGACCGATTCAAGCTGAGTAGTCGCCTTCTTGTGAAACCCAGCAGTAATTCTACGTGTTCGAGGAGCTCCGGGTTGGCGTCGCTAAGTTTTGAGGCTGTCTTGTTTGAAAATCAATGTGCGCTGAAGCTGCCCGAGAGCACTAAGGTGGAGAGGTCTGAGCGTGAGCAGCCATTTGGAGAGACCACTGATGATGCAGCCTTTTTAATCCTCTTCTAACAACCCCAAACCGCTCCGTTCCTCTATCACGTCCATTGCCCGGGGAGGAAATGAAAGGTCCACCAACCCTTGTAGTAGGGGAAACACAATTACCATGAATAGATGAGTGGCTATTATACCATGCATCTCCTCCGTTCGCCTGCCCCACTCCACCCAACACCTCTGCTCGCCGTCGCCTGCTTATAAGGCAATCAGTTGCCGAATTGGATTCTGCTCGTTAACATTCATTTAGATATTGGCTTCTCTTTGCCTCACAATATCCCCTCAACGACTGTTAGTTTCACTTGTTTTTTATGAATCTAATTTGATCCCAGAGTCATAGTTTAAAGCAGAATTGCTTTTAGTATTAATTTGCTGTGTCTAATTTAATTCCTGAGCTGCAAAATTCTCCCCCCCCCCTTTTTTTTTTTTTTTTTAACAATCCAGGGACTACACTGAAATCTATTTCCTTTTTGTGTTAAGAACATGCATCAGCTTTTAAGAAATGCTTAGAATATTCATTACAAATCACATGTGAGGCATACTAATGGTTGCGTCTTTAATTGCTTTTCTCCCCCCCCCCACCCGCAAACAATAATAAGGATGCAGGGCAATAATCTGTTTGATGTTCTCCTGTTCCTGTCTTTGTTCCCATTAATGAATTATTTCTTTTTCTTGGTGAGCTCTTTCCTCCCTACTATCACCATCACGCATTTCTCTGTTTAAACTTTGTTTTAGGCACAGATGGGGAAAATAAAGCCTTTGCAGCAGCTAACCTTCAAAGCAGCAGTGTGCTGAGTTTTGCCCCTTGTTTCAGTGACAACCTCAGCGTGGGATTTTTTCTTTTTTTTTTCTTTTTCCGTTGCAGCTAATTGAAATAATCTGGCCAGCGCTGCCAATATGGATGAGTCATAGGCATTCAGGGAAGCTGCTGGACTTCACTCTGCAGCTGCCCCCTATTGGGCCATACCATTATACGCTGAAACAGGAATGGACCGGCTCCCATGAGGGCAATCACACCAAAAATGGCACCCGCTGTCAGCTATGTGGGAACCCGCTGCTTCTACCTGCTGTTGTAGTTCTATTAACCAATGATTGTAGACAGATAGAGTTTCATCTGTTATGGACTGGTGAGATGGTTTGAACAGAACCTGTGTGCCCTGGCCGGTGTCTGCGAGGCGTAATGTCGACATGTCGCCTCAATCCGTCAAGGTCACTGCCTGCTGAGAGAGGATCATGAGGCCGGGCAGATCCAGCTAGCTGATTGCTGGGGGAAATGGGAATCAGCTCAGTGGCTTAGTTTTATGATTTCAGTCTGAGTAATCCCACTGCAGAATGAATGTCTTTATATCAGGCAATGAAGTTCATGGAGTGTGGCGTTATCTTGACTAGGTGAGCGTCGAGCTTGCACAATTTGGAACAATTGTTGCACAGAGAGAAAAGCCTCGGTGCGGCTCTTCATTTGCACCACTTTTGATCTGCCTGTGCTTTGGTCCTGATGGGCTGTTGGGGCCAGTTTGCTGAATTGTCGCAGTTTTTCAGTGTTTCTGAAATCTTCCTAAATGGCTAAAACAACATAAAGGGGCAACAAATTTACCCAAGTACTAAAATTAAGTAAAACGTAGAACTATTTCTATTTTATGCTTCTTTATACTTAGATTTCAGAGGGAAGGGTTTGCTGTTTAGTCAGTAACATTTATTCGACTATATGTTTACTTGTTTTCCGTACAAATGAACCGTGAAATTAGTTGTACTTGGAGCTACGTTTAATCTCCAAATGCTGCTCACATGTTCATGCATCAGAAATAATTAAAATATTATACACCCTAAAATGACTTATTCTGCACAATGAGTACTTCTGACATAGATACTTGAGCAGAGTATATTTTGCTAGGAAGAACACTTTATTATATATTATATGGTGTTGGTAAGGTTGCAAGGTCGCTGGTTCACATCCCGGTGGGGGCAGCGGGATCTTTCTGCGTGGACTTTGCATGTTCTCCTCGTGCAGCGTGGGTTCTCTCCGGGTTCTCTGGCTTCCTCCCACACAGTCCAAAAACATGTTGAGGTTAATTGGTGATTCTAAATTGTGTGAATGTGAGTGTGCTTGGTTGTCTGTCTCTAAGTGTAGCCCTGTGATAGACTGGCGACCTGTCCAGGGTGTCCCCTGCCTTCACCCTGAGTCAGCTGGGATAGACTCCAGCCCCCCGTGACCCTAGTGAGGATTAAGCGGTGTATAGATAATGTATGGATGGATAGTTTTGGTAATCTGTGCTATTACTGTCTTTACTTGAGGATGGCATACTTTACTCCTTTTTTTTGTTTGTTTGTTTTTTACTATCACTAAATCCTGTTTGATTAAATCCATTCATGGCCTCAGCCGGGATTCAGATCCTTCTCTGCTTAATGAAAGTCCTTCATCTAAACCACTGCACCACCACATTCTGTGTTTTGAGTTTTTTAAACAGTCTCACCTGATGTGGGTGAAAAGACCTGTGACTGGCTAAAATCTTCCCATTGTTGTGTTTATGACACTTGATAGTGAAGGCATAAGGAGGTGCAGCGGTCCAGTTTCCTTCCAGACCACTTAAATTACAATATGCTGAAGAAATGCTGCCTACCGCAGCTTTAAGTTTATGAAAATTCTCAGATATAGAAATCTTGTCGGGATCAATATATTTGAGAATTCAAACACTTTGATACATAAAAAAATAATAAATTCTAAACTCCAAAGATACTTGTGGTTTGATGAAACACAATGCAAAGCCGTGTGTGAAGCAGATCTCCTCCGACAGTCAAACATCTCCGTTTGCACAGTTACAGTACGTTCAGGTTCCATTAGCTGTATGGTAGTTGTGCCATTAGCCGTAGAAACAGACAGGTTTATTGGTCCTCTGGAACAGAAGAGACTTTGTGTGCTATGTGAATTTCTAAAAGTCCATTCATGCAGTGTATTTCTCATTATATGATACTAGGTTATCGAGGAAAGTGATTTTAATTATTGATTAGTTCTTTTGGAAAACTATCTGATTGTATGAAATCCTTCATCTGCATCTTTCAGCAGCGAGGCCGTTCTGAGTGGTGTTTATAGGACATAAAGAGGCATAAAGACTAAATATAGGACAAACGAATGGCAGT